TGAGGGTCAGGACCCCGCGGTGCTCCCAGCCGATGAAGCTGCTGTCGGTCAGGACCTCCACGTAGGCCACGAAGTCCTCGTAGCCGGGGAAGAGGGTGGTGACGACGGCGAAGGCCGTCCAATCGTATTCCTCCAACACCTCGAAGATGACCTGAAGCTGCTGCTCGGTGGAGGAGCCCAACTGCAGGAAGGTGGAGCCCTTCTCCTGCGCGGGGAGAGGGGGACGAAGCGGGGTTGGGGACCTACGAGGGGGTCCTGATGTGGTTGGGGGCAACTGGGTGGCTCTGGATGTGGTTGGGGTCAGGGGTGGTTGGGTTGGGGGACAATTGGATGACCCTGCATGGGGTTGGGGTTGAGTTTGGGACATTTGGGTGGCCCCAGACATGGTTGGGGTTGGATGTGGGGACATTTGGGTGACCCCAGACACAGTTTGGGGTAGGGGATGGTTGGGTTGGGGGACAACTGGATGACCCTACATGGGGCTGGGGTTGAGTTTGGGACATTTGGGTGGCCCTAGACATGGTTGGGGTTGGGGACAGTTGAGTTTGGGAACATGGTGGGGGTTGGATGTGGTGACAATTGGATGACCCTACATGGGGTTGAGGTTGGGTTTGGGACATTTGGGTGGCCTTAGACGTGGTTGGGGTTGAGTTTGGGACATTTGGGTGGCCCTAGACATGGTTGGGGTTGGATTGGGGACATTTGGATGACCCTGGGTGTGGTTGGGGTTGGGTTTGGGACAATTGGGTGGCCCCAGACGTGGTTGGGGTTGGGTTTGGGGACGTTTGGATGACCCCAGAGATGGTTGGGGTTGGGGACAGTTGAGTTTGGGACAGCCGAGTTTGGGACAGCCATGGTGGCTCTAGACTTGGTTAGGGTTGGGGTTGGGACATTTGGGTGCCCCAAACCATGGTTGTGGTTGGATTTGGGGACATTTGGGTGACCCCAGACATGGTTTGGGGTAGGGGATGGTTGGGTTGGGGGACAACTGGATGACCCTACATGGGGTTGGGGTTGAGTTTGGGACACTTGGATGACCCCCGAGATGGTTGGGGCTGGGGACAGTTGAGTTTGGGACAGTCATGGTGGCCCTAGACATGGTTAGGGTTGGGTTTCGGACAATTGGATGACCCTGGGTGTGGTTGGGGTTGGATTGGGGACAATTGGATGACCCTACATGGGGTTGGGGTTGAGTTTGGGACATTTGGGTGGCCCTAGACATGGTTGTGGTTGGGGACAGTTGAGTTTGGGGCAGTCATGGTGGCCCTAGACATGGTTGGGCTTGGATTGGGGACAGTTGGATGACCCTGGGTGTGGTTGGGGTTGGGTCTGGGGAAAGTTGGAAGACCCGAC